GTGGTGCCCACTGTTGCAGTCACTGTACCATCCATCCCCGAGGGTCTCCCTGTCGCTCACTCTCTCCTTCTCTAGGGACTGGTCCTTCCAGAGACCACATCCCAAGGACACCAGGCCAGTCTCCTTGCTTCTGAGAAGCATCTCACTACATATCTTCCAAGGAAGTGGCTGCGTGAGCATCACAATACAAACTCTTGCCGTTTTTCCTTGAAAATTTAAATTATCCTGCACTCAAAGTTGTATCTGAAATTTTAAAAAGCAAATGTACTACACTTTTCTCCAGGTTAAGTTTTCTTTCCTCGAGTCAAAATCATGTTGGAGTATTTAGTGGGGTGCACAGGGCTGCAAAGGAAAAGGGAACCCAGAGGCCCTCCCTCAGGAGGACCATAAACACAAACAGAACAACCATTCCCAAGTACAGAGGTGTGAGGGTCAACGTGATTTGTTCTCCGCTTTTTCTCTTTGTGAGAGAGACAGGGAGAAAGGAACAGAGACAGAGAGAGAGAAGGAGGAGGAGGAGGAGGGAGGGAGGCAGAGGCAGAGACAGAGAGACAGAGACTGGCTCTCTAAGTGTCAGACTGCTAACTGAAAGGTTGGCAACTCGAATCTACCAGCGGGTGCTTGTCAGGAGAAAGTGAGGCCGTCTCCTCTCATCAGGATCGGTCGTGGATACCACGGAGTCAATGCCAACTCGCAGAAGCTCGAACACAATGAAACCGGGCCTGACCCTGGGCCTCCCCCCTACACTTGCTGCATAGACCCTGAGTCAGAGAATCCCACTGAAGGTCTTTCTCACGTTTGATGAGCTTCACGTTTCCAAGCGTGATATCCTCCTCTGGGAAGGAACCCTTCCTGACAACACGTCCAGAGCCTGAGACGAAGCCTCACCACCCCAGCTTCTAAGGGGCACCCTGGCTGCAATCCTTTCAAGACCGATTTCTGAATCCTTCTGGGAGTCCCCATTCTTCACCAACTCCACAATCCAAAGGCACCACTTCCCATTCCATCCTCCTTATTCATTGTCCAACTTTCACATGCATTTGAGGTAATGGAAAATACCAGGACAGGGGCTAGGGAACATTCACTGCAGCGGAAATCCGATGGAGGGTGGCCAGGACTCAGAGCTGATGCAACAGCAGTACATTTTGAAACTAAAAAGGAGCCCTGTGGTGCAGTGGTCAAGTGCTCAGGTTGTTAACTCCAAGGACTGTGGTTCAAGCCCACCCGCTGGCTGGTGTGCAGGCTCCACCGCCGGCCTGCTGCCACCTTCCAGGGGCCAAGCAGGTGCTAGGATTCCTCGAGTCCGAACGCTGTGGTCACTCTGCAGGCCAGCATCTCAGACGCCTGCAGGCCCACGGCCACCCTGCAGGCCCACATCCCAGCCACCCAGAGTCCACGAGCAGCTCCAGCTAGGCCAGCTCCAGCAGACCTTGTCCCTGTGCCCAGGGGATCACTCACATTCTCAGGAAAACCCTGTCTGGCTCCCCCAGCTCCAAGTGGGTCAGGGTGAAGGGTCAGCCCATCTCCTCCTTTTAGTCATCCTCTGCTGGGTCCCCAAGTCCTCTCTCTTGGCACCCAGGTTAGCTGGGCCCCTCCTCTCTCACCCTGTCTCTGAAGAGTGGTTCACTCTGACCACCCCTGCATATTCAGGGGAGAGCAGTTCCTTCACCCCTTTGCCTGGTGCCATAGATTCTTAGAAGCCCTTTGAGACAAGCTAAGGTCCTGCGGTGCCCACTCAGTCCTGACAGCCAGCATCCAGGGCAGGACTCCTGGTGTGTTCCCCACCCTGGCAGGCCTGGTCATTCGCAGCAGGTCTGGGACAGCGGCCGAGGCCATGCTTGAGATCACTCAGGACACTGGGGGTGGTGGGAGGAGGCTTCCAGGTGCCACCCAGAGACAAAGGGACAGGGGGCAACACACAGGTCCTGTGGGGCCAGCTGTCCACGAGGTAGTACCCAGCCCTGGGCTCAGAACAAAGTCCACCTGCTGGCATGCAGAGGCACTTGTTGGCAAACAGGCAGGGGGTGGGGGGCTCCTCCATCTCACCTGCACCTGATGACAGGCCACGTGTCGTCTAAGGCCATACCATCCTGAACGTGCCCAATCTCACCTGATCTCAGAAACTAAACAGGGTCAAGTCTGGTCAGTACTTGGACGGAAGACAGGCTTAGTGGCTAGCTCAGCAGGAAGTGGCTGAGAGCAGGGCAGTGGTCATCTAGGACTCCCCACAAGCAGAGGCCACAGGCAGCCAAGCCCCAATGCTGGACAGTGCCAGCTACTGGTGGGCCACAGCTCCCTGACCAGAGCCCAAGACGAGGGCACTGAGGCATGTAGCAACACACCAAGCAATGGAAAGAACCAGAAGGCAGCCTGAGAGGTGAGGTATAAAAATCTGTATTTATATTACAATGACAGAACGATACAGTACAGTCCCACCCAGTGGGCAAGGGGGGCCTGTGTCTCTCCAGCGAGGACCTGATGGCGCAGCCCCCCTCCCCAGCACCAGGCCCCTACGTGGGCCCAGACTCTGGCACGGAACCTGCCCTTGAGCCCTGGGTCAGGGCCAGAGGATGCCACTGCCCCCTGCTGGCCTGAGGCCAGAGTCCTCTGGGCAGGGCAGCAGGGAGGGTCCAGGCTAGCTGACCCAGAGAGAAGGGGCTTGCCAGGCCCAGAGAATGGGCTACTGGGGAACGGGGGATGGACTAGGGTTCAGGTCCATGCTTGGACCGGCTCCAACCATCTAGGAGAGCAGGCTGGCCAGGCTGCAAAAGTGGGCATAGTGCAGACGGACGCCAACCCTGCAGGCCTGTCCCCTCAGCCAGTGGGCGCCTGCACAGTGACAGTGGTGACCTGGGGCATGGAAGCCTCCTCTCAGGATAGGGGAGGGGCTCAAATCCTAACTTGATTCTGGGGTTCCAGAACCACACTCTCAGAACCACCCCACATGGCTAAGCACAGCCCTCCTGGGTTCCTGTGGCCACCAGGCTTGGTTTACTTGTACGTTTGGCCAGGGGGACAAGGAGGGAGGGCTGCTGGACTAATTCCAAGCACCAGGTAGCCTCTGTGGTCCTCACACCCTGGCTCTGGGCGGACCAGCTCCACTCCCTTCTGCTGGTGGTGGGGTGGAGGCATCCTGGACTACAACCCACCCTAGGGGTCACCACCACTCACATCCCAGCTCAGAAAAGGCCCCTAACCAAGCTACCAAGATGGTTCCCTAGCAGGCACCCAAGCAGATCCTGCTGGCCAGAGGAGCAGATCCCCTCAAATGTCAGGGGAGGGAGGGAAGACGCTTTGAGAACTCAAAACACAGGCCAGCTAGGGGCCTGTGCTCCCCCGAGCAGCCCATCAATGTGGGGGCTCAAGGACAGCTCGTGGTGACCGGGGGCGAGCCCAGGCTGAGCACCTAGCCCCAGCCAGAGCTGAGACAGACACAGAAAAACAACTCGACCCAACTGCCCAGGGCATGTGGCTGATGTCCCGGGTGCGGGCCAGGCCTGGGAGGGTCCATGTCACCTCCACTCACCATCCCGGACTCCACCGGGGCAGGTCCAGTGCCAAAGCCCGTCCCAGGGAATTCTTTCCACCTCAGAAGCCCACCTCGCTGGAGATGGGTGGGAGGCAGGCGGTCGCACCACTGTAGAAAAACACACTTGAACATGATTTGGAACCAGGTCACAATGCATCAGGTGCTGGTTGCTGGCCCCCCAAGTCCCATCCAGTGGATCCGGAGGACTCGGCCGTGGTGGGGGGCAGGAACGACCAGTGGAAGCTTCCTAGTGCCCGGGCCTGCCCCAGATGGGGACTGACTGTCTTCAGCTGCCAATGTTGAAAGCTGGACCAGGCCCCAGGCCAGGCGAGCAGCGGGAGTCTGGGAGGACTGAGAAGTGACTCCTCGGGTCAGCAAGCGAGCTTCCGCCCAGGAGGCTGTCCTGAGCGGACACAAGGGGAGGACAAAGCCAGGGGACTGGGCAGGGAAGCAGCCTCGCCGCCCACAAAGGCCTGGTGTGGCCCAGGGCCTCCATCCACAGAGCGAGGCCAGCTGCCAGGCGGGGTGCAGTGGGCCCCAGGGGAGGGGACTGGGAGAGATGCTGGTGGCCAGGCGGCACACGGGCACAAGGCACACTAGGATGACGGTGACCGAGTCCCTGAGACGCGGGGTCACTCCCACCCCTCTGCAAACAAGGACGCGACAATGGCTAGGAAAATAGAGTACAAAAATCTCACACAGGAAAAGGGCGGCGTGGCCCGCAGCGCTCGGCGTTCTCCCTTCGAAAAACGCTTCTCTTTTTTGCTTCTTTAGTTGGGAAAGGCCTCTCTCCCAGCGGAGGCTGCCACAGGAGGGGCGTGTGTGCGCCCCTCTCCTGCGGGCAGGCTGCTGGGCGTGCAGCATTTTTTAACCTTGTTTAGAGGGGAGTGAGAGGGCCCCCCCAGGACCATGCAGCTAGAGCCTGCCCACCTAGGCTCACCTCCAGCTCTCACCAGGAAGAGAAGCCCCTCACCCCCGGTCCAGGTGCCCGGGGAGTCAAGGGTGGGCTGGGGTGCCAGCCCTGGCCCACGTGATCCCTGAAAGCCAACCACTCAGAGCCAAGTGCCATCGGGACCCCAGGGACTCTGGTCCGGAGTCTGCGTGTCCACGCGTGCGTGTGGGTGTGCCCCACGGTGCTGGAGACACCAACCGTTCTGACAGGGCTGCCACTGCCCATCATGACAACCCAGCCTGCCCTGGGAGCCAGCGGGAGACCTCTCCACCTCCTCCGGCCAAGGGTGGCTCACCCGAGTCCCGCCCTTCACAGTCCCCTCCGTCCATCCCTCAGGAGCCACGTGGACAGACAGACAGACAGAGGCAGGGCTGCTCCTTCCTCCCTCCTGGAATCCAGCTCAGGGTGGTCAGTAAGCCCCTGACACGTCGCCCGGCCAGGCTCGCAGCAATGACATTTAATACTTCTGGAATGATTAGGATTCTAAGAACAGACCGTGGCAGCAACACTGGGCTCCGGGGATCGGGGAGCAGCCCTGCCTCCCTCGGGGCCCCGCCTGGCTGGGAGGGGTGGGCGGCTCGGTGGGTCCTGGCCGAGAGCGGCGGGCAGCAGGCAGCCCAGGAGGCAACTGGGGCTCCCAGGGTGGCACAGCAGTGACCACGGAGAAGGCGGTCAACATCACAGGGAGGACTGGAAGGCTGGAAGGCTCGGCCGGGCAGGGAGGCCAAGGGCAGAGGGCACCAGGCCTACGAGAGGCCAGGGCGGCTTGGCCGCCGGCAGGGGGGCCCATAGCCACCATCGCTGCAGCCCCCACTCTGCAGGCTGTAGTGGTCATCGGCATCACTGCTGCTGCCCACACTGTCCAGCTCACCTGGGCCAAACTCCATGCCCTCTATGTCAACCTCTGGGGGGACAGAGAAGAGACGGAGTCAGGACCACCGGGGGCTGACCAGGGGACCCAGCCAAGGGCTCCACACTCTCTGGTGACAGAGGAGGACTATGACCCCAGGCCTGCCCTTACCTGGGCAGATCACCGTGCTCTGGGCCTCAGCCCCCTTGTCCCTGTCCACCCCATGCACAGCCCCTCCTCTGAGCACTGCATAAGCCCTCTTGTCTGACCCTCCCCGCTGCTCCCAGAGGGAGAGCTGACCACCCGCCACAGTGTGTAGATGTGATTCCACACGCCTGGCCCTCCTGGCTGACCACCCCGCACAGCACAGCTGAGCCCTCAGCCGCTCCCAGGGAAGGAGGTGACCGCCTCCCGCGGTGTAGATGCTCCCAGAGGGGGAACTGACCACCCCCACAGTGTAGATGCTCCCAGGAAAGAGCTGACCACCCCGCACAGCACGGCTGAGCCCTCCCGGCCACTCCCAGGGAAGGAGGTGACCGCCCCGCACAGCACCCTGGCCCTCCCGGCCGCTCCCAGGGAAGGAGGTGACCGCCCCGCACAGCACCCTGGCCCTCCCGGCCGCTCCCCAAGTGGTGCAGGCCCCCACCTTGCTCCGAGTCGTCCGTGGAGATGGCCGAGCCGGTGCTGTCCGTGCGCACCCGTTCCACGCTCTGCACCGACAGCTGCTCCAGGCGCCGTTTGAGGAAGCGGTGCTCCCGCTGCAGCTGCTCCTTGATGCTCAGCGCCCTGCGGTCCTGCTCCTCCAGTTTCTAGGGGTGGATGCGGGGTAGTGAGTCACAGGCACCGTCCTCTTCCCGGGACAGCAGAGGTGCTTCCCAGCCACATCTGGGCGGCTGTCCCAGACAGTCCCCTGCTGCTCACGTTCCCCCCAGGCCTGAGACTGAACCCAAGCCCACCTTGAGTACCTCCACGCCTCCTCGTCCCATCCAGGGAGTCAAGCATCGTCAGTATACCTCCGTCTGTCCCTCTCTCCCCACTCCACCTCCACGCCACAACAGCCTCCATGTCCCAACAGCCGCCTGGACCATCACACTGCCCCCCGCCCCCAAGGTCATGGCCTCCCAGTCCAGTGCACATCTGCCTGCAACCTCCTCTCCCCGCGCGCTGCCATAAGGGACGTCCAGGGAGCTCCCAGAGCACCTGGGACAGCAGCATGGGGGACCGGGCGGCGGGCGACAGCAAGGTGGTGGGCAGGGCAGTGGGCAAGCAATGAGCAGGGTGGTAGGGTGGTGGACTGGCAGGGCAGTGAGCTTGCAAGGTGGTGGACAGGGCGATGGGCAGGCATGTGAGCTGGTGGGGCAGGGGGTGAGCAGTGGGCAGAGTGATGGGATGACAAGGTAGTGGGAAGGCAGTGGGCCAGACGGTGGCCTGGCAAGAATATGGGCGGGGTGGTGGGTTGGCAAGGTGGTGGACAGGGCAAAGAGCAGGCAGGTGAGCTGACAGTGCAGTGGGTGAGTAGTGAGCAGGGCGTTTGGCTGGCGGGTCTGTCGGAGGGTGGTGGGCAGGGTGGTAGACAGGCGGTGGGGAGGGTGGTGGGCTGGCAAGGTGGTGGACAGGAAGGGGGTAAGGTGGTCGGCAGGGCAGCCGGCAAACAGCAGGCAGGGTAGCCGGCAGGAAGTGAACAGGCAGAGGGGTGGGCAGGCAGCGGGCAGGGCAGCGGGCAGGGCAGGACGGCAGGCAGGCAGAGAGGCAGGAAGGGCAGCAGACGGGGCGGCGGACCAGACAGCCCACCTTGATGTGCATCTTGGCACGCTTCAGCAGGCTCAGGGTGGTGTGCCGTGTGCTGTCCGGGCCCAGGGGCACCAGCTGCTTCAGCTGTTCCAGGCAGAGCCTGAGTTTGGCACGTCTGGAAGACCAGAGACACCACAATCAGGCCGGAGGGCAGCCCAGCACAGCCTGCCCAGGGCCCATGCTGACCCCAAAATCTGCCTGTTACCCATACTCAGAACCCAACAACTAAGCAGAAGAGGGAGCCCCAGCAGGCCAGGAGCCCACCACAGCCCAGGCTGGCACTGCCCACCACAGTCCCCACAGTCCAGGAGCCCACCTCTGCTGCCCCACCCCCGGCACTCAAGTCCTGGCAGCTCTGATCCTGCCCACCTTCGGGAACCCAGTTTGCCATGCCCCCTGGCGTGCTGTCACCGCGGGAACACTGTGAGTGGCCGGCCAGCCAAGGACCACTCCTGCCGGGCCCAGTCCCTCACGTATGGAGTCCCTCACGTATGGTGACTGAGCCATTCCAGAGTTTGTCCCCGTGTCCACAGAGACCAATGTTGGGTTTTTCACTCAACTCACATGCTGTCACACTGCGCAACTGTCCCCAGGGACTCGGGAGAGGGCCTGTGATTGAAGGCTCGCGAGGGAAGCAGGCTGGTGGGAATCAGGGGGACTGCTCATGGGCACCCCAAGTCTCTCTCAGACCCCATCAGGAGGCTGGCCTATGCCCCTTCCTACACTGGGGCCACTGCCTGTCAGTGATGGCCCACAGGCCAGAGCGTCCAGGCAGACGCGACAGTCCCCGGAGCAGGACCTAGCTCCAGCCCGCAATGCTGTGTGGCCTGGGCAGTGGGCTGCACCGGTCAGTACGGAGCAACTGAGGCGCTCTGGCCAGCCTGTCACGGATACACTCAGGTCTGTTCCCCAGCTCCAAAGCTGCCACTGTTGTGGAGTCGGTTCTGACCCCCAGCACCTCTCCACCTCGTTTCTGACACGTCCAGTCTTTCTGGCAAGGCACTCTCCACCTTGTCCTTCAGAGCACAGGTGGATTTGAACTACTGACCTTTCAGTTTGCTGGCCAATGTGTCATGTGCTATTTCACAAGGGCTCCAGAAAACTCACAGTCACATTCTTACTCACAGAGACCCTCGGAGAGGAGGAGTAGGGACCGCTGGGTCCCCTGGTTGGCCACCTGTGGCCCCACGGAAGGAAGGGGCAACCAGGTGTTGGGGAGCGAGCCCCACGTTCACCTGCAAACTGCGTGCCAAGAGGAGACAGTGGCCTCAGCTGCTGAAGGAGAGACAGGTGTGCTGGGGCGCGCACCCACACAGCATCTGCCCACCTTGTACGCCAGGCCACAGCCCCCCAGTCCTTCTAGATGACTAAGAGTCAGACTTCAAGAAGGACTTCCAGAAGTGGGACAGAGGCTGTGCTCTGCCCACGGTGCCCAGGCCCCACCAACCTGGGCCTCAGAACCTGACCGAAAAGCCGAGACTGGACAAGTCTCAGACCCTCCCTCCCGCTGAGGTGCTGAGAGACGCCCCCTCCCACCGCACAGAGATGGGACAGAGGGCCATGGGGCATGGCCCCAGAACTGGGGGTGCTGGCCACTGATCCCCAGCTACGCCGAGTGCCTGAACCTCAGCTCCGATCAGGAGGCCCTGCAGCCGGTGGTCCACGTGCAGCACCAGGCTCAGCGTGGGCAGGGCTGGACCCACGATGCTGACCAGCCAACACAGGGCGCCCTCCTGGGACATGCCAGGGACGCGGCTGGCCTGGGGGCAGTGTGCCCTCTGCTCAGAGGGGCTCGGATCCAGGTCACCTTCAGCCCATCTCCAGTGTCCCGCACACGCCCTGCGTGAGCCGTGGGGGTGTTAAGTCCACTCTGACGTGCAGCGTCCGCATGAGCGGGCAGAAGTGCTTCAGGGACGGGGCCTTCACGGCAGCAGAGTGCCAGCCTGTCTGAGTGCCCATGAGCAGGTTCAAACAGCCAACCTTTCAGTGAGGGTGCCGGTCACACGAGGAGCAGAGCCGAGACCCAAGCCCGCTGCCTGCCATCAAGGCGCACAGTGGGACGTCCACCAGGGATCCACAGCTGTAGTGTTCACAGCACCCAGCCACTGCCTTCCCCTGCTGGAGTCCAACTGCTGCCCCACCAACCGTATTAAAATAACAAAAAGATCAAGCTCGCTGCTACTGAACCAACCCCGAGCTGCAGCAGCCCCGCCGGGTGGTGCTGTCACGGGCCATGGGTGGGCTCCGACCCAGCGACCCTGGACCCCCGCTCCTGCACCGCCCTCCCCCTCCGCGGTGATCAGCCCCAATGTCCCACTATCTCCAGATGCAGCGAGGGACCTTTTGAGGAAATTAGAGCACGTAAAACAATCGACGAGAAGAAACACAAGAGACCAAAAGTCCCCCAAGCCTCCCAATCCCGGGCAGCCAACGATCACCCTCGGGGAAACGACACTGGCATGTCACGAATGCCGAGTGGGAAAGGATAGAATCAGAACCACGAAGGCGACGTGAGATCCAGTGTCGTTGGCCCAGCGTCGTTTAGGGGAAAGCAGACGCTAAAGACAATTAGCAAGACACAAGCACGCACTGGGGCGTGAGCCTCCAAGCTGCGGTCACGCACGTTTATTTACGTGGCACAGAGTTCATCTCCCTGAAACCACCACATATTGCTTTGACAACGGGAAAGGGGGGGAACCCCAAACAAGGCGCGTCACAGCAGGAAGCTATTCACAATGTACTTATATAAAGACAGACAGAAGCATAACATTTTGAGATCACACAAGCAAGGATAAAAATCAACTTTAAAAAGAGGAACATCTCCACAGGAAAACGGGTGAACAGCACACACAGCTACTCCGTCCCCAGGAATCAGGACAAGCGATCCTGCCCCAGGAGACACCAGGTTTTCCCCTTTCAGGGTTAAAGCCACAAAGGAGGGACTGTCACCGGTGAGGGGGCTGGCTGGAGGATGGGACAGTGAATGGGCAGCATCACTGAAGATCAGGTCAGGTCATCATCTGAGCCCAGCAGCTCTACTGCTAGGGAGGGACCCTCCCCACAGACCCCCACGGGCAAGCAAAGATCCCTGGGCAGCCATTCAAGCTGTGAGCCCTGCACGGTGGACTCACCTAGAACCCCAGGGAGCTCGCTGAGACCGGGCAGCCCAGAGGACACTACCGCCTGGCCATCGAAGACCAGGAGGCTGCTGCAGGTGGACAGTAGTTACATGACACTGTGTGAAAGAACGAATTAGGGAATCACAGGTCACAGACTGTGCCATCGAGGCGTGGTGGGCACGGAGTGCCCACGCAGGAAACACTGGCAGTGACGGCAGAGCCCAGGATCTGGTGAGGACATGGTCTCTGGGGACAGGGGTGCAGGGGAAGTCCAGGCACCTCATGACAATCGCAAACAATTCTTAGAGTCACCAACATTCTTCCAGAACACAGGAGCCATCTGACCACGTGGTGTGAGGGGTCAGAACCAGACACGTGTCCATGTAGCCCCAGGAAAGCACAGAGTGGGGACACGAACGACGCAGAGAGGATGGCTGGGCCCTGTCCACACAGATGACAGGTAGTCACTGACCAAGCCACTGAGGGCGTCCCTTGTGTGAGCGGCCGGCCTCAGCGGACTAGAGAGAGCTGCCTGTCCATGACCAGGAGAAAGTGGGCAGCGACAGGCCAGGGCAGGAACAGGACAGAGCCTGCCCACAGCCCCGGACAAGGGGGAGGCCAAAGGTCTAAGGCAGGCCCCCACTGAGGGGATATCGTCCCCAGGGAGGGTGGGGTCTGTGCCCTGCCTCCTGGGGGCCGTGGGCCCAGCCAGGTGCTTCCTTCCTTCCTGGGGACAGCAGCCAAGGTGTCAAGCATCGCCCAGTCACGGGCCCAGCCGGGATCCACACTGCAGACCAGTCAGCACCGAGCAGGGAGCGGGGGGCACGTACGCAGTCGTCCCACCGCCCCAGCCTCATGGAAGATGCTGGGAGGAGGTGGCAGAGGCCAAAGTTAGGGTCACTCACCCTCCACCCCAGCCATCTGTCTGTCCTCCGTCGTACGACATCCACGAAGCCTTCCTTTCAAACACAATGCTCACCCAGATCCCTGGCTCTCAGGCAAGGCCAGGCCAGCCCCCTCTGCCAGCCTGGCTTTCTCTACACCCCTGTACTTGCCCCCACTTGGCCCCTAGGGAGCCCCCAAACACACATGTGTGTGCACGGGTGCACGCAAGCACACACACTCACTCACTCACACTCTCTCTCTCACTCTCCAGGAAGCACAGCTTCTGCAGAGAACACAGCGTCCTGTCCCTGCCGGGCACCCGCCCAGCCAAAGGCCAGAATCCCGGGGGAGCGGAAGCCGGCCGTGGGTGCAGACCCGGGGGGGGAGGCGGGTACAGTGAGCTGGCCGAGTGCCCAAGCCTCCCTCGGCAGCCACCCACCCTCAACCGGGGAAGGGAGGAGCAACAGCCCATTGCACAGGTGGCAAAGAGAAGGCAGGCTACTGCAGCAGGCCCCCTGTCATGCAGTGGGGCTCTTACTCCAACGCACCCCGCCACCCACCTGCCAGGCCCAAGACCAGCCTTAAGGTCCTCCCTTGAGGAGAGACTCCACGGGTCTCTCCGAGGCCCACTGAGCTGCGACACACCGTTCCTGCCTGGAGGTCACATGGACCTCCACCCAAGTGACCTCCATAGGCCAGGAGAGCACCCCAGCTCACACATGGGGCACCCTGAAATCCAGAGCTGGGACAGCACTTCCTGCGGGAGCACAGCAGTCAAAGACGTGTGGCCAGAGGCTGTGGTCTGGACAAGGCCATTCTTAAGAGTGGCTAAGACTCCCAGAGTGCACCTGTCTCCCCCTCCTGGAAGCCGGCACCAAATGACCACAGCACACTGTCCCATCCCCAGCCTCTGTCCCTGTCTGCCCCGGCCACTCTCCTGATCGCCCCCCTGCCTCCCAGACGGGCTATCTCCTGAAGGAAAGCAGCGAGCTCGGCCGCAGCAGGACACACCAGGCTGATCGAGGGCCCAGCGCCATCCCCTCAGCAGAACGGGGCTCTGCATGTGCCAGGCAGTTCACGTGAGGGTGGTGTGAGGATGCCACTCACCTGTGCTTCTCGAGTTCATTGTGTGAAGACCTGTTCAGAGAGAGAGAGACACACTCATGACCACCAGAGCAGACAGTGTGGCCTGTGCCACCAGGAGCCCAGGGACCACAGCCAAGGGACAGCCAGGGACAGCTAGGGCTGTGGCAGAAGGGACAAGCAGCACAGAGGTGCACACCTGTAGTTGGACAAAAGGGGCAAAGCCCCCTCCAGGAAGGAATGGGGAGGCCCAGGCAACCCTGGTGGTACCCTGACAGCTGGGCATCCAATCACCTGTCTGGGCAGCTCCCCACACCCTGTGGCTAACTTGCCCTAGGACCCAGCGTGCACCGGCAAAGGGCCAACTGCAGGGTGTCTCCCCCACGACAGTGCCCTCTGGGCACAGGAGCAAGGCCTTCAGGAGGTGGTATAACCCACCCTCACCCCAAGGGGACAAGCAAACCCTTCCAGTCAGAGACTATGGTCCTGAGCTGTCACCCACAAAAGGCCCAGATGGCCCCAACGTGGGCTCATCTCCCCCGGAGACTGAGGGGGCTGTCCTGACACACCGCACGAGCTCACAGACTATGGGACTGACGAGGACATTCAGCAACACAGCAGTCCCAGTGGATTAGTCCCCGAAGGCCCCACAGACGTGGACAATGCCCAGCACAGCAGGCAGTGCCAGCCGCATCTGCCCAGGAGGACAATGGGGTGGGTGCCAAGCTCCCAGATCCAGGTCACTTGGGTACAGGGACTCCAGGAGCCGGGAGGGGCATGCTGAGACCTAACCGCCCTCTCCCCTCACCCCTTCCTGGAACGTCTCCTGCTCCCTCCACCGGCACCTCCCTCTCCCAGAGCTGGACACTGGGGTCTCCTGTGCCCATCTCTCGCCAGAGGCAGAAGCCATGCTGCCCTCTGCTGAGTCTTGACCCTGCCTGAGACCTCCTTTCTCCTGCCAGGTCAGAAGAGGTCTCAGACCTGGCCCAGGGTCCTCAAAGGGCCTGCCTGCCACACATGGAGGCAGGAAGACACTCCCTGTCACCAGCCAGAGGGATGGACAGGGGCCAGGTCCCCCTCGTACCTGAGATGTGTGGGAGCATCATCAGGAAGGCTTATCACGCAGGGGTGGGGGGGCACCTGGCCCAGCCCTGCTGCACACAGGTGTCACATGGGCCCCAGCCCTGCTGTACACAGATGTCACATGAGGGGGCACCCGGCCCAGCTCTGCTGTGCACAGATGTCACATGGGGGGCACCTGGCCCAGCTCTGCTGTGCACAGATGTCACATGGGGGGGCACCTGGCCCAGCTCTGCTGTGCACAGATGTCACATGGGGGGGGCACCTGGCCCCAGCCCTGCTGTGCACAGGTGTCACGTGCAGGGGTACCTGGCCCAGCTCTGCTGCACGCAGGTGTCTCATGGGGGGCGGGGGGACCTGACCCAGCTCTGCTGCACACAGGTGTCACGTGGGAGGGCACCTGGCCCCAGCCCTGCTGTGCACAGATGTCACATGGGGGGGCACCTGGCCCAGCCCTGCTGCACGCAGGTGTCACGTGGGGGGGCACCTGGCCCAGCCCTGCTGTGCACAGATGTCACATGGGGGGGCACCTGGCCCAGCTCTGCTGCACACAGGTGTCTCATGGGGGGGCACCTGGCCCAGCCCTGCTGCACACAGGTGTCACATGGGGGGGGCACCTGGCCCCAGCCCTGCTGTGCACAGATGTCACATGGGGGGGCACCTGGCCCCAGCCCTGCTGCGCACAGATGTCACATGGGGGGGGCACCTGGCCCCAGCCCTGCTGTGCACAGATGTCACATGGGGGGGCACCTGGCCCAGCTCTGCTGCACACAGGTGTCACATGGGGGGGCACCTGGCCCCAGCCCTGCTGTGCACAGATGTCACGTGGGGGGGGCACCTGGCCCAGCTCTGCTGCACACAGGTGTCACGTGGGGGGGGGCACCTGGCCCCAGCCCTGCTGTGCACAGATGTCACATGGGGGGGCACCTGGCCCCAGCCCTGTTGCACAAAGATGTCACATGGGGGGGCACCTGGCCCAACTCTGCTGCACACAGGTGTATAGGGGATCAGAGCAAACAGCTGCAGCCTCACCAAGTTTCCTCCTCACCTGTGCCTTCAGGTAGGTGCTTCTCACTCTCCACACTCCCCCCACTGCTCCCACCCCCGCTGGATGGCCTGCAGCACTCCTATCCCCCAGTCCACCTGCCCTGCTAACTGTTCACCCCCTCCTCTTGGCAGGACACACACGTTTTCCAGATAACGCTGCCCAGCCAAATCAGGGATCCCAGGCCTGTGCCCCTGCACTGCCCAGCACTCTGCGTGGGCTCAGACCTAGTGGGGCTGGCACAGACCAGGAAAGTGCCCCCTCTGTGAGTGTGAGCCTTGGGCTGATGCAGGCACAGGGGCAGGGGCTGGGGGGCCTGGTTCAGGGAGCAGGGGGACTATTCCAGACAGGAGGGGGGTGAGGAGTGCACACTGGTCCGGGTACTAGGGTTGGTGGAGCTGGTCCAGGCACTGTGGAGGGGGTAGGGACTGGCTCTGACATGGGAGGGGCAGGTGCCAAGGGTGCTGGTACAGGTGCAGCGAGGGGGGTGGGAAACCGGCAGACAGAGGGGGTGCTGGATCAGGCACGGGGGAGGGAGCTGAGGGGGTGCTGGACCCCACCCAGGGATGGGGGTGGAGGGATGGACACAGGGGCTTGGTTCAGGCCAAGCTAAGCAGAGATTGTCCCGAGAAGTAGAGTGGGTATGCCAGGGACAGAAACCCTCTTCACACCTCCCCTAGAGTCCCCAAGGTTTCCAGTGCAGCCGTAAGAAGCCAGGGCCCCACCCCAGGGGACGGTCTGATGGATGGACACACACCCACAGAGCGCGACAGTGGGACTAGCAGCTCAACCTCTCCGGGCCTCAGTTTCCCCAGCTGTATGACGGAGACGCTGTGATTAACTCACTGGATGGGAATCTGGCTGTCAGCTCGGGTGCTCCTGCCACAGGAGCCCAAGGTCACAGCGGAGTTCTTGGGTGGCAGGGCCCTGTGAGGGCAGGAGCCGGGCTGGCACACTGAGGCAGACCGGGCAGCGGTGCCCTGCACGCCTGTCCTTCCCCACACCGTCCCCAGCAGGGGATCGGGGCTGGCACTCAGAGATGCGTTCCAGCCGAGCCAGCTGGACTCTCAACCAAGTCCGCGCCAGGCCCAGGGCGCCAGGACGTCACACGAGATGGGTCGCCGTGCCAGCCTTTCTGTTCCTCAAGAATGGGCAGGCCACAGGAATGAGCCGCACCCTCTGCCAAGGGGCCCCGAAGCCCCCCACAAGCACAGTTCCCGGCCAAATGACTCAGGAGCAGGCAGGCCTATGCGGGCCCCTGGGCCGTGCCCGGGGTGCCACCAACCAGAAGGCCCGGAGGGTCCCCCCCTTCCCACCTAGGGATGTGCAGCCAGCCCAGCAGCTTCTACAGCCACGGGGGCACAGCCAGCAAAGCCGATTTCGGGTGACTGGCACGAGGAGGCCATTCCTGGCAACCTGCCACCTCCTCGGCCCCTTCAGTGCCCTCCACCACCACCCTGCCCACCTTAAAAGAGCCTCCTGTCTCCCAGAAAGTGACCCTTGCACTTGTCACTAAAGTGTGTCTTGTTTCGGAGACTGGGGAGGGCAACCCAGGGGGATGGGGTCCCAGGACAGGATCTCTCCCTACTTTTTTGTCCAGACATCTAAGGGGTTCGCCCTCGGCGCCAGTCGGGCACACGACCCATCCACCCGTGGAAAAGGGAGCTAGAGACGAAGGATGGGGTCGGGGCAGGCAGCTCAGTGTGCGCCGCACCGAGCTCAGTTCACTGTAGCCCACGGGACACCAGCCAGCGCCTAAGAACAACTTTCTTCCTCCGCGGAAGAGTCAGGAGCAACTCAGGGGCGGGGGGCGCAGCAGCCGGGAGACCCCGGGGCGAGCGCTGTACGCGTGGCACTGTTTACGCGAGAGGCCAGGAGGCGCGGCCGGCACGAAGATGGCGACGGCGCGGGCGGGGCACGACGCGGCCCAGTGCGCCTCCTCCTCCAGGCTGACCACCGGGGCGCACGGCAGTCCCGGGGCTGCGGGCCGGGGTCCGGGCGCCGGAAAGGGCCGGCCCGGGTCGGGCAGGGTGGGGCGACCCCTGGCCCGGGCCGGGCGCCCCGACGCCAGCAGGGCGGGGGGCGGTACCTGTTGTTCGGGGCCTTGCGAACCAGGCCGGCCGCCTTTGTTTTCTTCCTGGCGAAGTCGCCGTCGAAGGGCAGCACCGATGCGTAGCCGTGCTCAGCCTCTGCGGACAGACGGCGCGGTCAGCGGGCTCGCACCCCCCGCCGCCCTCCCCGCGGCCGGTGCACAAAGGGGCGCGGTACCTCGGTCCCTGCGCTCCAGGTACTCGGCCGCTTCCAGCAGGATCAGCAGGGAGTTCAGCTCCATCCTCGCGCGCCTGCCGTCCGCTGCGCCCCCCGGACGGCGGCGGCCTGTCCGGCCTGTCCCGCTCCTGACGCTTCGGCTCCCCCCGACCCGCTCCTGGAGGCCACTCTCGCAACCCGCCCCAGCCGCCCGCGGCGCCCACTTCCCCGACTCCCGCAGACTCCAACGCGCCCGACCGCCACCCTCTGCCTCGGGCCACGCAAATTGACACATAAGGTCGAGCGGCGGCCGGCGCAGCCAATAGGAACAGGCTCTCCGACTCCGGGGGCGGGCACCGGGGCGAGCGTGAGCCAATAGAAGCGCAAAGAACGCCTCGGGCGGGGGCCGAGAATGTTGACAGATCCGATTCTCGCTCGGGATAGGCCGGCCGCGGTAGTAACAATTTAGAAGCCCAAGCTTAGCAACAGCACGTGGTGGCCCGGCCCCCTCGCTCGCTGACTGGCGGCAGTCGTGCATGTTAAGTAGGCGGTGGGCGCCGATTGGTCCAAAGAGCCTATGTAAAACAGGGGCCGCAGACCAATGAGCGGCCACGGGGTGCTGGCCAATGACCGGTGCTTGCGGCTGGACGGGTTGCCGAGAGGAAGGGGTTGCCGAGAGGAAGGAGCGCGGCTGGAACCGGCCCTGCCCTGCTCGGCCCGGCCCAGCCCGGTCTGCCTGCCCCAGCCGGCCCGTTACTGCCCGGTGCATCCTGAGCGCGGACCCGGTGCTGGGGCTGCAGGACCGGAGCGCGTGCACACCGAGCGGAGGAACCTGTTGCCCCTGGCCAGTCTCCTCGGGTGTCTGCAAAATTAGATCTCCTCCCAGGACACCCGAGGGCCCTGGGAAGGGCCTGGGATTAGGGGGCGGGGAGGACGCAAATAGTCCTGCGATGTCCACGGGGAAACTGAGGCGTAGAGCAGGAGCTGGTCTCCAGAGCTGCCCAGGGGACCTCAGGGCTGAAAGGGGCCTAAGCTTCGAAGAGGGCAGCGATGTGTGGCCAGCTGGGATCTGGAGGGCTCCCCAGAACGGAGGGCTGCGTGCTCGGAGTGGGGTGTGACGCTTCAGTGGCCATCACTGTCGCCTCCGTCCCAGGAGGAAGAGCTGCCTGGCTCATCAGGCCCTGGCTGGCAGGTCGACCCCGCTGGTGATCAATGGCCCCTGCCTTGGCGAGTCGATCGTGTGGGGTAGAGACCTGGACCCTCCAACAATACAAATGTAGTGGGGCTGGCGATACCACAGGTGGGAACGAAGCTGAACAAAGTGTGGTTTTTCAGTTCCACCAATAATTCGCTCAGGGTACGTTTAAATGCTTTGCGCCCGTGTATTTCCTCATCCTGTTTGCAGAAAAGGAAACTAGGGCCCTGAAGCTATGGGGACTTGCCCAAGACAGGGGGGTTCTCCCCACCGTCTCTAGCAAAGCAGGGATTAGTGTCACCACGCATGTGTCCCAGAGCTGGTGACGGCAAGGAAACCAAGCCATCTCCTGGCCCAGCCCATCTTGCAAAGGGGTGTCGCCCAAGCTGTGTCACGTGCACAGTGAGGACGGATGAGCGCTCCCACGGGGTGGAAAACTGCCACCAGGCAGCCCTCCCGTGATCACTCAGCACAGAACTAGTGCCTGCAGCTGCCCCCACCACTTCTACCAAGGACTCTGAACAGTGGCCCTTGAGGTGTGCTGTCCTGATCGGTGCACTGTAAAGGGGGTGCCGGCCTCTGAGCTGAAGGCAGAGTCCCCCACCTCCAGCATTCCCTGCTAGGGGTGGGTAGGGTGCACCTGCGGTCACTGCGCCCACTCCCTGCCCTCTTCTGCCATGTATCACAGGGTGGCTTTGATAGAGCAGGCAGTGTGGTGCCAAGGTGTGAGTAGGGGACACAGAGAGTTTACCATGGCGCTCCTACCCTGCCTGGTCCTAGCCCTGCAGCCCTGGGACTCCCCTGACCAAGCATTTCCCAAGTCCTGCCAGGGCACTGAGGGAAGTTTGAGGGGACTTTGTAGGGCTGGGCAGAGCTCTGGGCATGGGCAGGGAGGGGTCCACCCTGCAGTGAGTGCCTGCCTCCCAGCTGGAGGAGGAGAGGAAGGCTGGCTAGGAGGATGCGGTAGGGGCATGTTCAGTAACCAAGGTCAAGGGGACTGGCTGGGTCATGTCTGAGACACACACACACACCCGCCCCAGGGGATCCCAGAAGGAAGGAACTGGGGGGGGTGTGAAGGAGGGAGGTGCTGACTGTGGGTGTTCACCGTCCCCAGGCCCTCCTGAGAAGGGGGAGTCCTGTTCCACAGCCCCAAGCTCCCTACCTGCGTGGGGAAGTGGGGATGGGTGCGTCCTCCATGGGGCAGAATGCCCACAGAGGCCTCAAACTGGGGCAGCCACTTCCTGTACCCCCTTATGGCCATCCTTTCCCCAGAGCTGGGACTGCACCTGGCCAAAACAAGCTGAGCCTACAAGGAGAAGGGGCAGCTCCTGGAAGCCTACCTGCTTGTCCAAGTCTGTTCTCCACTTATAGCCACCCACCCCACTGAATTGGGAACTGCCCCTCCACAGTCCCCCAGGACCCTCCACCATGCAGGACCCTCCACCATGCAGCTCTCTTTGTCCTCCATGGTTGAACCCACTGCCACATCCTCTAAGCTGCCAGCCACCTGGGACCCCCAGATGGATCTCCCTTGCTTCCCTTCCCTGCAGGGTCACTGCATGTCAGCTGGGGCACTGGGAGAAGGACATTGCAAATATGGGTCAAACACCTGGGTCTCTGCTCTGCAGGAACTGCCTGGGCCACCACTACACCCCAGGCCTCACGTCTGTCCCCACAGAGAACCCCAGCACAGAGGACTCCTCCTAGCCTGCCTCTCCCTGCACCCCGGATCAAGGCTCTCAACCACACCTCTGCTGGTTTGAGAGCTGTTTGTTGGTGGTGTCTCAGTATCCAAGGTCCCCCAATCTGGCACCAGAAGGCACCTCCACCTGGGTGAGAAGATGGGTCAGTTAATCCTGTCTCTTCCTCCCCTGCTCTGACACCTGACTGGCCATGGGCCTCATTACTGAAGCAAGTTTCTTGCTGCCTTCAGGGTCCCCAGTTCAGCCGCTGAGGTGGGGTGGCCAGTTCTAATGGTGCCCAGTGTGGATTCTGGTGTATGGCACCCAGATACAGCCCAGCTGCGTCCCCAGGCACTGGATGACCTTGGAGCCTGGGGTTGTGAGGTCTGGAGTGTGCTGGGCCAGCTCCTCCAGGGCACAATCCTGTGGGGACTGGGCACAGTGGCCTCTCGGGACATTGCCTGAATTCTCGTCCTTCTCTTGGCCTGTCCGAGCCTCAGTTTCCCTCAGTATATAAAACAGGAATGGAAGTCCCCAACTCTGGGGGGCGGGGAGGTGGGATGAAGATGTGTGAGAAGCAGTGGTGAGCTGGCCATAAGGGAGCCAGGAAGTGACCCGAAATATTGTCACCACCCAAATCAGTAAGCAGTTCTAGCCCCAAGCCCTGCCATAGGGAAACAAGGACCTAGGGAGCCGTTCCCACCCGGTGACCACTGCTGGTTACAGAGGCCTGAGCAGAGCTGGAGCTGGAGGAGGGGCAGCGCCCACCTCACGAGCTGGCACCAGGGCTCTTGGCTCTGGAGCACTGAAAGGATTCTGAGAATATTTTGACACTAAAAGTCTAAAATAGAAAAAAGAAGCCAGTAGGATAAAAAGGAACGAAGATGTCATTTTCTGTATGAAGTCAATGTGGTCGTTTCATTGACGAGCAATGCTGGTCCTCTTTGTGGCCAGTCTGTGGGTAGGTTGTTCACTTTACCCAGTCACCCATGGCTCTGACGCTCGCATACCACCAGGACGAACACCTTCAGCAACCGGCGGTGAATTCTGTATGGCTAAAGTTTTCCCAAACAAGAAAATCACCCATTCAAAGTTTTCACAGGACAGAACTGGAGTTACGAAGGAAGGCTTTGGGGACAGATCTGTGTGTTTTCCAGGGGCTGGGGGGGGGGAGGCTGCCCCAAAGCTGGAGAGAAGCTCATGGATGCTAGGGGCCCACTATCCCCTCTGCTGTCAAGGCAGCTCTGGCTCGGGGGGAGAGGCCAGCCAGGCACTGTGTTTCCCACACCGTGCCAGGGTCAGTCCCCTCTCCAAGGCTGGACAGGACAAGGCTGGCGTGCATGGGCAGGTCTCCCTCTCATCAGACAATGGAACCCTGGGCTCCCCAACACACCTCTCCGAGCCCAACCAACCCCTGTGAGGTTTCTGGGCTAGACTTTTGGGCAGAGAATGAAAGGTCCTCCCTGGCCTTGACCTTCTTGGCCTGCTTAGCCACATCTGTAGGAAGCCTCCCAGGTACCTGGAGGTCTCCTGGCCAAAGTAGCCTTCCATGGCATTGGCTATGGCTCTGACTCCTGGGGCACAGACTTCCTCAGGTTCCCTGAAGACCTCAGGCAGTGCCCTTGACTACTCAGGTCCTGGGCCTCACAAGATCCAGCGAGCTGCCCACCCCAGGCTCCAGTGGCCTTTCTGGGTCCCTGTGGCCTCCTGGATGTGCAGAGGGTGACTGGTGACTTTGAGTAAGACACCTCTGATGGAGGCTCTGGTCCTGTGGCTGTGTCTTGCCCCAGCCTCTGCCTCATCAATCTGTCCTCTTCAGGGTCCTGAGGTGGGTGGGCACATCCTCCCCGGGTCCCCCAGTGCTGCAGGAGGAAGGTGTTTGTGAACCACTTCTGCTCGAGCCTCTCTGGGCCCTGGTGTTTTTCCTCTCCAACAGCCCTGGTGACGAGTGTGTTATACGCTGGACTCCTAACAGAAAGGCGGGCTGTTTTAGTCCTTCACTCTAAGGGTAGAGATGAGGCTGTCTGCTCCTGTTACAGGACACAAGGCCTGCGAAACAGATGGAAGTGCCAAGTCTGAAACAGCTTCAAATGGTGGGTCCTGGACACCCCGTTTGCCACAGATAACCTGCCTGCCCTCCAAAGCTCCCCTCCCGAGCTGGGCCAGGTCCCCCAGTCTGCAGACCTCCAAGGTCTAGGTGTCCAGCTTTAATCAGTGAGAGCCCAGACTCTAGCCCTGAGAGGCTGACCTACCTGCATGTAACACACCTGCACGAATACCCAGAAGCCCTTCCAGTGGCGTTTCCATCTTTGTGGCGCACCTGTGTGCTGAGTGACTGCGCCCAGGGCCCACCAGGAAGGACACCCAGCCCCTGCCTGCCACCTTGGGCTCAGAGGTGGGCAGGCTCCGAGAGCCTGTGCGAAGAGCCAGTGACTTGTGTGAAAGGACGCAGGGCCTGGACGGCATCGGCAGATGGCAGGGTTGGGAAGATGAGGATGTGTGCAGAAAGTGGAGAGCATTGCAGTCCAGAAGGCTGCCTGGAGGAAAAGTCTGGGTGCACCTTGGAGGAAACAGGCACCTCCAGGATCCCAGATGAAGGTGGACTGGGAAGGGTGCTCTGGGCCCTGCTCCCAGATCCGGCTGCCCAGCCAGAAGGGCTCAGAGCCGGAAGGAGCCGGAAGGGCTGCGGTGGGCTCCAAGCTCAGGGTGCCCACCTTCTGTGTAACCTGCAGTCAGGAGTCCAATTGCCACCAACCAGGACGCCAAACCAGTTCACTCATGGCTGATGGTCAGAAAAGCAGAAAAATAGACGGGAATAGGAATGACAACTAGAATGGGAAATAATTATGGGCTGAAGTCCTGAAATAGGAGATTGAAAAGGCATAGTCAGCCCTTTAGGTGTCTGATGGAGAGGACAGGATTATAGAAAATAGACGCTGAATATGGATTAGATAGCCACCGTATGTCGGATGTGTCTGGAGAAACACACACTCAGAGCCACATTCAGACCGTGAAGTCACCTGCCATCTTTGAGATGGGCACTGCTGGTTCTCACTCTAAGATATTTGGTTACTATGCACGCCACCCTAAGAGACGATTAACTTACTAGCAGGGCTGTGATGTGGACGTTTTCCTGTTCTGCTTAATTGCTCAGTTCACCTTGTTTTTGTTGTTATGTGCCATTGAGTCACCTGCGAATCATAGCGACCCTATGTACAACAGCCCTAAACCCTGCTCTGTCCCGTGCCAATCTCGCTGTCTCTGACATACCCATCCCCATTACCCCAGTCATTGAGTCAATCCATCTCATCGAGGGTCTTCCTCTCCTGCACTGTCTCTCCATCCTCCCAAGCATGACATCTCTCTCCAAGGGCTGATGCCACCTTGCAACATGTCCAAAGCATGTCAGACAGAGCTTCAGAATCCTTGCCTCCAAGGAGCAGCCAGGCTTCACCTTCTCCAGGATGAATTTGTTTGTTCTCCTAGCAGTCCATGGTTTATTCAATACTCTTTTCCAGCACTACAGCTCAAAGGCATCAACTCTCCTTCTACCATCCATAGTCACTGTCCAACTCTCTGATGCATAACAAGTAATTGCAAAGACCATGGCCCGTATCAGGTGCAACTTAGTCTCCAGAGAGACACCATTGCTCTTCAGTACCTTGGAGAGTTCTGACAGTAGACTTTCCCAATGCGATTTGTCTTTTAATTTCCTGGCTGCTGATACCAAGACTGTTCATTGTGGAGCCAAGCAAACTGAAGCTGTAAACAATCTCAATCTCTTCACCATCTATCATGATGCTGCCAATTGGCCCAGTCATGAGAATCTTTGTTTTCTTGATATTGAGCCTCAATCCATATTGAAGGCTGCAGTCCTTGACCCTCTGCAGCAAGCGCTTCAGGTCCTCCTCAGTTTCAGCAAACAAGCTTGTGTCATCTGCATAACGCAGACTGTTGATGAGTCTTCCTCCAATCCTGATGCCACATTTCTCCTCATAGAGCCCAGCCTCCTGGATAATCTGTTCTGCATATAGATTGAAAAGATATAAATTCGAGTTTGTTCTAGTGTCACTTCCTGCTCTATGAATGAACAGGACTGAACCATTCTTCAGTCTTGGCTCCAGCAACCAGGCTGAGCTGGGACAGGAGGGTTGGAGCACCCCCTTATAGCCATTAAAGGCTTCACTGACCTTTAAAAAGGAGCCCGGTTCAACTAAGGAAGCTCCTCCTACTTCTCCTCTAGGTGGGAGTGAGCACCGACGTCACTGACCATCTCTCTGGTGCTTTGTGGCCAGTATGTCCCCTACTGCAGCAGGTTCCTCTGTTGTCCTGTCCACAGCCTCCTGTCACCAACTGGAGCTCGGGAAGTGGAGTCTTGTGTGCGGAGACCCCTCTGCCCTCTAGAACGACTGGCGGCCTGCTCAGCATGCCGGCCTCAAGTCAGGCCCCTGGCAGCCCCAGGTGGTAGCCCTCCTGGCTGAGGCAGCAGGCAGGCTGGGGCTGGTGGACAGCACGGTGTGGACCTGACTCCTGGTAGTAAACTCCACCTGTAGGCCCTTGTGCTTTGCCTCTAGGGACCCTCCTGGAAGCCTACAGCCTGGCCTGGCCGGTTACTGTACTCCGTGACCCTGTTTCCTCAGGGTCCTGACCCAGCTTTCCATCTGACTCCTAATCCTGAGCTCTTGGCCCCAGGTCAACCAAGCCAGAGGCCTTGCCGAGGGTGGGGCAGGCCACCCCTGCTCACTCCTTGGGGAGAGATGACTCTGTAGAGGATACGGTGGTCAGATGTCTGGGTTCAGCACTGAAATACACCTGCTCCAGGAAACCCCTCTATCCTGAGAGAGATGGCTAGTCACTCACTGAGGATATTTGCAGCTGTTTGCTTCCAGTCTCCTTGAGGTCAGCATGGGGTTTGGTGGTTCCCCTAGCCTCCGTGCCCTGCACACAGGTGGGCAACAGCTGCCTTGGGGGCCACACCTGCCCCCTCTCCTGCCTCCCCAGGTGTAGGCAGCCCCTCCCTGTCTTCACTGGCAGGAGAGCAGTGTCACCAGAGATCAGGCACAGGGTACGCTCTTCTGGCCCCTTCTCCCTCACCCACCGTGACCATGCCTGGGCTGCGGGGGACAGACTGGGAAGAGGAAGGAGCCCCACCTTCCAGCCTCAGTGGGGCTTCCCTGGGAGGCTGGCTTCTGGGTGGGTAGCAGCAGAGATTGGCCCCCACCAATCTGGGGGCCTCCGGAGTCTCTGCTATTCAGCCGGTGACACAGGCCACAGCGAGACCTGGAGTGGATCGTGGGGGTTGGGGAGCGAACCTCTATTGGCTCAACCATATGAACCCAGGATGTCATTCCTGTGAGCCTTCTGAGAGGAAATGATAATGAGGTGTGACCCTGGGCCAGAAGGGACACTGGGGATCAAGAACCCCTCTTTCTCCTGCTCAAGGACACTGCGTACCCTGAAAAGCCTTGACATCTTCCTTCCCAGAAAGGAGCGGATGTTGGCCACCCTCATCTCACAGCCCTGCCCTGTCAGAGCCCGCTCCAGAGGGTGCCCACCTCCGTGGAGACGCTGAGGCAGTGACCAGAGGCAGGCACTGTTACCGTGGCAACTCCCAGGTGGTCCACCCTCTCCTCTCTTCCCAGGTAGGGAGGACAGGGCAATCCTAGGTGGGACTAGAGCACTCAGACCCCTGCAGTCAGGCTGGGCAGGATGAGATTGGCAGAGCCACGGAAGGCCTGACTAGGGGCCTCCTCTTCCGGGGCCCACTGATAAGGCCGCTGGGCAGAGGGAGGCCTCGTGTGACTCCTCTGGGGGCGGGGGAGGGCACTTCTGGAGAAAAGAAGCAACAGGCACGTATGCAATCCTTAAATAGATTTATGGAAATGGCTCCAAATTACAGCATTTAGAAAATAAAAATAATCTCAAATACATAATAGTATTTGCTCCATTATATCCTCTCCCCCCGCAGAAGCTCCCTTTGTGAGTGTGTAGCCCACTGTTAGGGTGACCGGATCTGCACCCTAGAAAAGAAGCACAGGGGGTGTCATCTCTCTAAAAAGAAAAGTGCCATCGTCCTTGCAATACGAAGCCTGAGATTTAAGCCTGAGGAAGTGTCCGTGCCGGGCCCCTCGGGGCACAAGGAGGGTTGGAGCACAGAGGGGGTGGGGGGTGGGGAGGGCGGCCCATGGGGTCCTCAGCTGCCCAATGTGGTGAACCCTCTGCCTTGGGCCTCCCTGCTGTGTGGGAAGTCTGGCCCTTCTTCTGGTCAGCAGGTGGAGACAGAACCTTCCAGAACCCACCATCAATATATCCCCTCTGAGAAGAAATGAGACATAGGTCCTGAGGAGGGTGGGGTGGCATGGGGCAGTGAGGTGTGGGTGGCTGCGTGCTGGGGCCCTGGGAGGGGGCCCTGTGATGTCGACCTGGGGGCCTGAGGCATCAGCAGGTGTCACGGTACATATCCTCCATCTGCCCTTAGATTGAGCTCCTGGTAGCTGGGGTCAGGCTGCCTGGACCCCACCACCCCACTGGGGTCAAGTGGAGCAACCAAGCAGCCCCCAGGTACCGCTAGGGCTGACCCCCGAGGCAACAGTGGTAGTCATCAGGGTCAGGTAAGCAGGCAAAGGATCACCCCACACACACACTGCAGGTCACTCTCCCCACCCCGCTGGCCAGGCAGACACCAGGTCGGCACACACGATGCCCTCTCTGGCGCTATGGCAGAGCCGTGCCCCAAGTGGTGGACAGCGGCTCCTGACACTCTGGAAGCCAGCCTGTGTGGCCCCGGGGTCCCTGCAGCAGAAGCAGCAGCAGATGAAATGTGATGAAAACGCCCAGTGGCGTGGCCTGGGTGGGAGGAAGCAGGGCCGCGCAGGGGACGCCGGCGGGGGCCGGGGGTCCGAGTCCTTGCTGCCCAGGCGGCGGGCACCGTGTCAGACGCCCGCCTTGTCGCTGTAGAAGGGCGTGACGTGGAACATGTAGCAGTGTGTGCACACGCGCACCGGCTTCATCTGCCCGTAGCGGGGCAGCGGCGCTGAGTGCGAGGAGCAGCGCGAACAGAAGATCTGCAACACAGGGGGTGGCAGGGCTCGGCCCGGGGCACGTGGGGCACCTGCCACCCGGGGGGCACCCCTGCCCAGGCAGCCGCGGGGCTCCGTCCGCCAGTGACCTCACGCCCCCACCCGCCCTCCCACCCAAGCCAGGCTGCTGGGGGGCAGTGCTGGGACAGGTGAGCACCTGGGCAGGTGCTGGGCTCAGGGGACAAGCCGGAGTGGGGTCCCCAGACCTCCAGCCAGGCCAAAGGGGACCTTCCTCAAACCCTCCAGCACACTCCTGGGCTCCAGGTCGCTCTCCACCTCAGACCCCTCCCCCTGTCCCACCTTCTCAGACCCCAAACCTGACCCCTCCTCTCCGGCAACTCCTCCTCCTCCCCAGGCCCCGCCCAGCGCAGGTTCCACCCCATCTCAGGCCCCTCCCCTCCCGGGCAACTCCTCACAAGGTCCCGCCCCCTGTCCAGGCCCCTCCTACTCCAGACAACTCCTCCCAAGGTCCCGCCCCCAGTCCTGGTCCCTCCCACTTCAGACAACTACTCCTCCCCAGGCTCCGCCCCCGG